GGAGGGTCCGCGAGGTGAGCGCCGCCGGGCTCCGCTCGGCCGTGCTCTCCGGTATCCCGGGCCGTACTGGCGAGAAGGAGGCGCCTGAGCGGCCGCGGGTTGCAACTTCCCCTCGGCGGCAGTCTGGGCCGGGCTCGGCGGGAGCGGAGGAAGTGATCGGTGGGAACGCTGGTGTGCGGTGCACCGCGGGGACGCACGCCCCGGTCTCCTCGGCAGGGCGGCGGGGTCCCCGCGCGAGCCAGCCTCCGACCCCCACTCGCGAGCTCCGCTCCCGGCGCGCAGGTGGCGCCCGGAGACGGCCGCCCGCCGCCCCGCGGGGCCCAGTTCTGAAAGCATTCCCTCCCTCCGGTCCCGCACACTTGCGTGGGTTTCTGTAAGACCTGGCCCGAGCCCCTGCCCCATCCCACCGGCGCGGGAGACGCAGAGGCGGGGGTTCTGGGGACCCTGTCCCCCCCCACCCCCGCACCTCCAGCTGTCCAGGGAAGCGCCGGCGAGTACCGAACCCCTGGCGTCTGGGGCCGGAGCCAGGCTGTGCCAGGAAGTGCTGGATCGCCTCGTGGGTGGCCAGCCTGGGGCCCGGCCCTCCCCGGATCCGATGCTCCTCTCCGCACGTCCCGGTTCCCGGCAGAGTCAGGTGACACGCCGGAATCCCCGTCCCCTGCCCCCGCAGCACCCAAGGTGACCCTTCGGAGCACTTTGCCCAGAGTCTCTGAGAGGAGAGGTGCTCGGGCCGGGAAGTCGGGACTGAGAGGTTCAGGACGTGGCTCTCTTTTTCATTCAAGTAGTGTTGCGTTTAGTTTTGTTTTTTTCCTCTATAAAGTTTGTCTGACATGGGGTTCTCCTCAGAACCCATGAGCAGCCTCTGGATTGAGATGTGGAACGTGGGGGGAGGGAGGTAAGATGGAGGTAGAAGGGGTTTTTCTTCCCGAGCAGAAAGAGAGAGCTCTTGTCATTTCTGTGCTTAAGTAAAAGCCTCAACTATCTGCAGCACAGTTGTTTTGACTTCTCGAGATGAGATTACATGAATGTTAACTGAAGAGCAAGGTGCTTTCAGAGAAGTTTTTAAAGAGCCCTGATTTCGAAGGAGCCCAGTGTTTTGAATTGCACTGATACCTGCCGAGAGTCTTAGATGGCTACATCCTACAGCACAAACTTTTTGGAAGTTTAGATAAATCTTAAAAAATGTTAGGTCTCCATTTAGGCTGAAATTATATGCTCTTTTAATGCAGTCAAGCATATCATCCAAACCAAACAGTAATTATTTCCCAGGTCTTCCCAGATTGCCACACCCACCAAATGCTAAATTGAAAAGGATAAACTTTCCTGGTTTCTACTTGGTTCTAAAAACCAAACCACAACAACAAAAAGCCCACCCACTTTTCAGTTTGCACACTCATACTCACCACACTTAGTTACCTGTAACAAAGTCTGGCCGAAGAAGCAAGTTAAAAAAGAGTTTAGCAAAAGTTTGACATGCAAATGTGTATGCTCTTGTGTGTATTTGTGTGTGCCCGTATTTAGCCTTAAACTCAGAGCCTAACACTCTCTCTTAGCTTTTTTTGCTCAAGGCTGGTGCTCTACCACTTACACCATACCTCAACTTCCAGCTTTTTTCTACTTAATTGGAGATAAAAATCTCATGGGCTTTTCTGCCCAGACTGGCTTTTGAACCAAGAACTTCAGATCTCAGCTTTCAGGGTAACTAGAACTACAGATGCAAGCCACTGTCAGTGTCCAACTAAAAGTCTGACTTTTGTGTCTATTTTGCATTGATTGAAAGTGGGGACCCAGGTGAGAGGGATATTAAATTCAGCATTATCAAGTAGCTACAATTCTCTGACCTCTATCACTCAGATACCACCATAGTAACTGAAAAATTGAACCCATGTTAGATAAGCACTTTTCCTCTTTAACCACACTCCTAGCCCAATTTTCTTGAGATAATCAAATGACCTGATTAACTAAAAAGGGCATCCTCCCTCTGCTACTTTGTTAATCGAAAATCTTTGATGATCAATCAATGATATGTTTTTCTACCTGACTTTGAGACTTAATCATGATTAAGCCCACATCTCTAGTTTTGGTGCTGTTTGGCTTTTACTTTTTATTGATGTACAATGATGTATGTTAAATATCAGGCTACTATCGATTCTGAATTGCCTTAATTTGATTTATTCAATGACATAAGAAGTCTCTTATTTCATCCAACGTTGCTTCTAAACTGAAAACTCCAATGATTATTTCCAATCTCTTCGTGTCCATTATCACTTAGATATAAACCCTGAAGTGATTTCCCGTACACTGTGACAATTTCAGAAACCTTTATGCCAGTGCTTTTCCAGATCACCTTTCCTCACCCAGCGCTCTTGGGAATTGCTCAAGTCACGCCTGAGTTACCACCTCAAATTCATTTGTAGGATCCATTTAAACACTGGGCATTTGCTTGTTGAACACAGATACTATAGACACTAAAATGAAAGACATACACTGGCAGGCATTTCAGCTTGTATACTATTCATCAGACACTTATTCAGTACCTCTTGTATGCAGGCAGGAAATCTTTGCCCTCTTAGGGGCTATCTTTGTTCTTACTCATTTTTACAAAAATATTTTCATCTATAAATATTTTGATGGTGAGTATGTATGGGGCTGATTTGGATAGAATTTCAGACCTGTGCGTTTGTGAATGTGTTTGTGAACTCTTAGGTAGACATAAAGCAATTAGAATGTAACCTTGACAATAGTCCAAAACTGGTACTCTCCTAGGCTTACAACTATTTCTTACGTAATATTTGCTGAAGAACTGGAGCTAGAATTTGGTTTCTCCATGCTATTTCTAAACACTATACTTTCCAGGTGTTTTCAGCTGTTGTAAGTCAGGAAATCTTGTCATCTATGGTATAATTGGTCCCCCAAGTCTTCTACCTAGCTTCTAGTTTACTGGTTGCGGGCACTAGCTGTTGTTGGTGTGGTGTGCAAGACACAGAGGCATACCACAGCATAAGAAATGCATGGCCAGTGCTGGTGTGCACCTGCATAATTCTGGTCCCACTGGGTGAATTAAGGGCCCAAAGAATCTATTGAACTTGTTGCCAAACTTGATAAGACATAACCTACTCAATTAGATGTAATTCAATTATTAAAATGCTGAAACATGAGTGCAAAAAATTTTTCCAAATGAAAATGAAGCCAAAAGCTGTGAAAGATTGAACAAAAGCGAGAGATGGAAAAACATGTCTGACAAACTAGTTGTTGATAAGACCATTTGATCAAGAAGAAAAGCTAGAAGAATTTACAAATATCTGAAAATACTTACTTTGCTTTAAAGAGACTGAAACTAAACATTGTAAACAAGGTGAAATTTGAAAAAGACTCATAGAATTATAAAGAGTGAACCACACTATAAAGATCAAGATCCTATAGCTAAGTCCCAGCCAAAAATCTCACATAAATCAAAACAAAACTCTGTTATTGCTAGGTTCCAGTAGCTCATAGTAGTTTATGCCTTTAATCCTAGCTACTCAGGAGGCTGAGATCTGAGGATCAAGGTTTGAAGCCAGCCCAGGCAGACAAATTACTGCAATTCTTAATCTCCAACTAACCAGCAATAAGCTGGAACTAGAGGTGTGGCACAAATGGCAGGGTGCCAGCCAAAAATGAAAAGCCAACTGAAAATATGAGGGTCTGAAACATAAAACCCTGTTATTAATTTACAAAATAGTTAAGATATATATGTATGTATTACAAAATAGTTAAGGTATATATATAACTCCCTTTTATTAATTAATTATCTAAGTTTTATTGTTATTATTAAGGTGTTTACAGAGGGGTTACCATTTCATAAGTCAGGTTATGACACATTTCTTTCTTTTTTTGTTTTTTGGATAATGTTACCCTTCCTTTGATTTCTTCCAGTTTCCCCCTCCCATCCCTGTATCTAAATTTTTGTTATGAATTCGCATGTACTGTACTTAAGAAACTAAACTTTGTTACAAAAATACTGAAAATGAGTCAAATTGAGTTTTTATACTTAAAATAAAACTACAACTTACTGTATTTAATCCATCTCAGAATGAGCAAAAAATTATCCCACTTTACAAACATGCTCTGATTCTTTAAAATGGTCACTAACTTTTTTCTTGTTTTTTATTTTTCAGATATGGTCCCGGACAGTCTGGAATCACAGCATTCTGTCAAACACACACCACCACTTCTGACTTATTTGCTACAATGGGGTTTTGCTAACTTTGGTCTGGACTGGCCTCCGACTGCATTTCTTCCAAACACTGCCTCCTAAGTAGCTAGAACTACAGGGATTAGCCACTATACTTGGCTATATAATTATTTTTCTAGCTTTTATTTCAACAAAATTGCTAATTATGTTGCTTTTAACTAAGGTTTTTACATAATTTGTGTCTGATCATGTAAAGCAATTCAACTCTGCTTTCTTTTTTTTTGGGGGGGGGTCCGGTCATGGGGCCTGAACTCTGAGCCTGGGCGCTGTCCCTCAGCTCTTCAGCTCAAGGCTAGCACTCTAGCACTTGAGCCACAGCGCCACTTCCTGCTTTTTTCTTTTTGCTTATGTGGTGCTGGGGAATCAAACCCAGGGCCTCATGCATGCAAGGCAAGCACTCTATCACTGAGCCACCTTCCCAGTCCTTAACTCTGCTTTCTAGAGGGCAAAAATCAATTTTAAATTCCAAAGTAATGTATATCAAAATCTCAAAACTTAACTAAGTATGTAGAAAACCTTAAAAACTTGGAAATTTAATGAAATGTTAGAAAACATTGAGCTAAAATGATTTTCACTTTTAATAATCTTGTCACCTTGGGATAGCAACACACTTCATATGTTTTGCCCAAATCAACATACATGCAAATTTAAATCATATGTATCTTTGAATCATACCAAATGTCTCTTAGTATTTGTGTGCCAGTGTAAAAGTTGCCCTGATATGTACATAGTTGGGGGCCAGTAGATGGATCACAAAAGAGAAATTGAGAGCATGGGTACTAAGATGGCCAGGACATATTATGCTCAGGAATCCATTTTTGAAATTTGAAGGGGAAGCTGAGACACGTTAGTACATTTATTTCTTCTTTGAATACTTCTGGCCAAAAGATTCTACCTTGATCCCCAGGTGACATTGCTCCCCAACTTGCAAACCTTGATCTACTTGCAAACCTTGACTATTTGAGGCCACGACAAGACACGGGAAGAGGTGTGCTTGGGGTCTGTAGGGTGTTGCTTCCAGAGCAGATGTTTAGGCAGATGTAGGCCATGCTGAGCCACCATTGTGAACCAGCACTGACTTACACAGCAGTTGGGTGTCCTTTAATCAATTCATGTTTCCAAACCTGTGACACACAGTATACTGAAAAGTAGAAAGCCAAGGGCACAG